CATTTTATCAAAAATTGTTGCATACATTTAGGCTCTCCATAACCCAAATAACTGTGACATACTTTAAGGCTCCCTTTAAATATTTAATAATAATAATATCAATTATCACAAATACAGCTCATTAATAATGTAAAAATGCTTTTAACAATGTTTACTTGCCAAAATCGAATTAAAATTACCTCAGCAAAAAAACCCTCCTCTTCTATTCTCCACTGTTCCACATGACAACCTGTGTGCAAACAGCCATAAAAGCTACAACACACAAAAAAAGGTTAGAGCTAAATAAATAATTACACACATACACAAACATTCAACAAAATAAAATGCATAACTTATTATCCTAGGAGCAAAAGATCAAAGAATTGATGTAGAAAAGATAGCATGTGAATTAGAACACTCCAGCAGTCAGCCGTGGCAGCAGCAGCACCCCCGACCTTTTCATATATGCAAATTTTCTTTTTTTTTTCTTCTGTGTCTTCAAATGTATAATTCATTTTAATGTCTCATTTTCGCAATATCATAAAATATAAATAAGCAAATTAAAAGCTTATTAATTGAAAAGGACAAAAGGTAAATGATAAATCCAAATGTAAACACACTCAAGCAAACACACACATACACGCACACAATGGAAAAAGAAATTCTGCTGAAGCAAGCTTAATAAATAAAATAAACACAGAAAATGGCAAAAGGATATGCTGCGTATTATGAAATTTGTCATATGTAAATACATTAGAGGGGGTGGGGATGGGAGGTATGACAAGGGGGTGGCTGATGAGGAAGGACAAATCAATTTCATACAACAAACCTCTTTTTTAACCCCCAAATTTGATTTCTTGTGTCAATGTACCCAGTATTATATCCTTAGATTTTCCATATCAGTTTCCTTGCTGATAAATAAAATGTTGAGGAAAATATCCTTGGGTTATGTTTTTCGAATCTCTATTCATGCATCAAATTGTTTTGACTCTTGTTGGCTTGGTCTTTATTGATACACTCCCGTTCTCATATCAACTACGGAGAAAGTATCCTTGCAGTTCACATTATCTATGGAATTTTTTCATTACAGTCTTCTCCTTCTCCTCTCCTCCTTCCCTCTTCCCATCCTACGCGCCAAATCTAAGATGCTCTTACAGATTATTCTTATACATTTTCTTTATTATTTTTATTATTATCACTGAGAGATGAAATCGCAAGGATTCTTTCTTCTGCTTTCAATTTGCCCATAATGCCAAACGCATATCTGGATACGGTGTTATACCTTAAAGCTAATCAAATTACCTTAAGAGATTTTCCAGATATCTAGCCCGTTAATGCCCGTTAACATCCCCCCACCTCATCACATCCTTGGCTAACAATTCATTCATTCATATTTTTTAATGGTTTTTATTTTCTAACGAGATTCTTTTTTATGTCGTTGCGTAGGTAAACGTTAAGGATTTACTTTAAAGGAAGCCATAAAAAACATTGTTGTAGTTGTTGTTGTTTTTTTTTTTACAAATAGTCTACTTGTTATTACATTAGACTTGTGCACTGGACTTTGTATTGCCTGGAATTCATTTCGTTGGGCATGTCCTTCTTAACTGTTTTCATGTCCAATTGCCGTTGGCCAAATGTCTTGTTGACAATGATTTTTGTGAATTGCGTTGAGATGGGATAATTCTCATGGGAATTGCCGGATATTATATCTTATGTTAAAATAATCGTTTTTCATTTTTGGAAATGGAAATTTGACAAAATTTTCGTAGATAAATAAAAATCCGACGGCTTTCAGTTGGAGATCCTCTAAGTAATGAAAGAAAATGGGAGTTTCTTGTATGTTGCCCTATGTATTTGAATTTATAGAAGAAATGGGCCTTGTAGTGAATTGTAATACGGAGGCGACTATGTTCAGGTTTTTTTTTGTTCGGTTTTGTTCACGTTCGGAACCCACAATCTACAAGCACTGCTCAGTGACCACGTCTACTGTTCTACGTAGGGGATTTTAAATCAAATGCCAGATTATAAAGCAGTTTGACAAAGTAAAACAAACTTAAAATCTAACATTTTCAACAACTGCTCAAAGGCCAAATTCTACTGGTTCCGCAGGTTAAGTCACTTTTATTTGATAGTGTCCCAATTTGAATGTAGGGACCGATTTGGCACAATTTCAACCTCAAACAATCTAGTCCCCATCCTATTTCAAATTTCTACGTTCATCTATCTTCGTCTTTTGTCGGAATTGTTATATTTCGGACAAATCCAATGGTAAATGTGGCTAAAACCCCAAAAGAACTTTAAATCCACAAGGGAAAACCAAAACCAAAAAAATAGACCTCAAGATCTGACACGGACCATGTGCTTCAAGTAGAACGAACGAGACGAGAAAATTGGAAAGCGACAATATTTTGACACTGGACCTAATTTACGAAAACGTTTCCAGACAGCAGCAGCCGACCCACTAAATTATTGCGGACATGGAACGGTAAAGGCTGAGTCCGACATTACTTCCATAGACTTCTGTGAAAGCCCCCTGACTGAGGAGGAAGAGAATATAGATACTACAGTAGTCCAGGAGTTGGCTTTTATGAAAGTCATCCTGATTAACTCAGCGACCCCAATATTAATTCGTCGGCAAATACCGACAAGCTCATGCTCTCAAGGAAAAATTGACCTCGGATTAAAGCCATTGAAATTCCAAAAAATGCAAGGACTTATACCGCAACCGAAAGAAAATAGACTCAAAAGAGCTAAAGAGTTGCTTCGCTTGGCCGAAAGTGGGGAACTGCCGAATTTGGCTTTTTCCGATGAGAAAACATTCGTTGTCCAGCAGTTTGTAAACAAGCAAAATGATCGTGTTTACCTGCCAAAGAGGTTAGCTGAAAATGAGCACCTTCGGTTGGCCACCAGAACACAAGCGTCGGCCATGGTGATGGTGTGGTTTGAGCCGCCATAAGAGCCGATGGTCCTTCTCCTCTCGTATTAACCGATCGTGGCATCAGAATAAATGCCGAATATTATCGCGAACATCTTCTGGAGGGTGTATTAAAGCCTAGGGCACGCAAACATTTTGGCCGCAGACCTTGGACATTCCATCAGGACTCAGGAGCATCGCACTCAGCACGCGCCAACCAAGAATGGTTACAAAATGAAGTTCCTCGCTTCATTTCTAGCGCACAATGGCCACCAACATCTCCGGATACCAATCCGTTGGACTATTGTGTCTGGAGAATTTTGGAAAGCAAGGTTGGCCCCAAAAAATACCAAAGTGTCGATCACCTGAAGCAAACGCTTCTCCGTGATTGGGCCAAAATAGCGCAGGGCAACATTCGGTCAGCGTGTGACGGTTTCATTGGCCCTTTGAATTCCATAATTCGTGCCAAAGGTGACCGATTCGAACAAATCTAAACTAATTCTAAAATTTGATGCTATTTCCGATATTTTTTGTTTTCATTTAATAAAATTAAAAAAAAAAAATAAGTTTGTATGTTCGGCCGGGCCGAACTTTGAATTGCCTCTACCATTTGGAACCAATTTGGCAATTCTCAAAAACAATAATATCCGTTAAAAATTCTGTTATAATCTTAAAATCTTATCTAAAATCATTAAAATATCGAATATCGGGAGGTACTGTTATATGGGGGCTATACCAAAACGTGGACCTGTATGGCCCATTTTCAATACCAAAAGTCCTGCAGACGGACAGACGGACGGACAAAGCTAAATCGATATGGAATTTTATGCTGATCAAGAATATATATACTTTGTTGGGTCTAAAATATATATTTCGAGCTGTTACAAACGGAATGACAAAGTTAATATACCCTCCAGAGATACCCTCCTGATTTTTTTGTGCGTGGAAATGAGATTGAAGCGTCTGAAGAGCCAAGGACAATGAAAGATGAAAATTTGAATCTTGACTAAACTTCGTTTGTATAAGCATGGACATATTTTCGCTCAAACTTCTAGAAAAAAATCGAATTCTTTCGGATAAGGGGATATTTTCCACTTTCAATTTTGGTTGCTGCTTTGTCGACTTAAATTTTGTACTGCTCTACTCGCTTTTATGTCGTATGAAACACTTGAAAATTGTGAGAGGCATGGGTGGTGTACTCATTTTTCCTTATAAAATTCCTCCATACTATGGTGAAGGGTATAAAAATGTAAAAAATTATGGCGTATGACTTTTTTTGCAGTTTTTTTTTTGTCTCTCTCTGTATATAGTATAGTAAATAAGTTTCCATAATATTTTTTTAAAATAAAACTTAGCCATATAGGTGGTGATTTTGAAATATACCCGGCGGATATCTGACTAGCAAAGTTAACTTCGGGAACATATCAGAAGTCAACGGTAGGAAAATGTTAAAGGGAATGTTTCATGTGTGAAAATTAAGAAAAAAAAAACAAAATTATTTTTGTATTGAATTATTATGATTAACATTTTGCCCATTAAAAATATATTTTCAAAAATTTTTCATGACAGACATCAATTCTTATATTTGTAGATTATTTTTCATCTTTTTAACACTACCGACGGTAGTGAAAATTTAAGGGCATGATACTGGGTTTTAATTCGAACGAAATGCAATGTATATATATACACTTAGTATTTTCTTGTTTTGGGAAATTCGAATCGTTTATATTTTGATTAATTTTCTTTCGAAACTAAATTTACAACTTCAAATTTTATATAATTATTTTATTTATTATATTATTTTTATATTATATTATTATTTTATTTTTTATTATTTATTATAATTTATTTTATATTAATTATTGTCTACCTTCTGAGGCTCAAAAATATTCAAATTAACATTCAAATTTCCTAAGCCCTTCGTATGATTCTGATTTTTTTTATGAATGAAGTGTTGTTTAGTTTCACGTGTTCAATTATTAACCTTTAACCTTACCTTCCCCACACAATGCTGCCCACTATTTAAAAATTATCATATTGTTTTTGTAAATTATTATATATTATTTATTCTTTTATTTTTTAATTTATTACAATGTAAAATATCTATTATAAAAATTCTTATTCGTTTATTTAAATAGAACTATTTTTATTTTCTAAATTAAAATAAAATTTACAAAATTTATTTATTAATATCATTGTACTTGTTTTATGCTCATGTTAAATGAAACTCGTTGAGTGGTAAACAAATGATCTAGAAATTATGACTTAAAACTAAAGCTGTGAGTATAATTGGTATCAAAATTCTTAAAAATGTAAGTTATATAGAGATAAAAATATTTCCAAAAATAAATACATCAATACATTTAGAGGAGATTATTTGAACTACTGGCAAATTAAAATGCAATAGTTTTCAGATGGTTTTTAGTTTACAAAAAAAGCCTTAGTTAATATTTATAAAAATTTCTTCTTCTTCTTCTTAATTTTTTATATATAAATTGTATATAGTTAAATATCAGTGGGGTATAAAATAGACACACAGAGGGTTTGGAAAAAATGTTGTATGGTATAATATCTTCCTTAATATCTACATTTTATATATATAAATTATATAGTTTGGTTTTCTCGAAAACAAAAATTGACTATCACATTTGTGCTTATCTCACAATTTGTAAAGGATTTAATTTAAATCCTTTGATTTGGTTAGCCACCCATCATCACTTCTGCAGAGCATTTCCTTTTTTTGGAGGGCTTCACTTTGCCGTCGGCAGACTTTGTTTTGCAGCTATACAAAAAAGAACACCAAAGCAGGACTATGGGATTTGGGGTCCTTTGCAATTAATTTCCTTGGGAAACGTTCCAAATATATATTCAACATCACAATTTTGCTTTTAACGAGCTTCCATTTTGGTTTTAGCGAGGAACTTTACTTTTCGCTTTTCGAGGATGGCAATTTAGTTCCAGGAGGGTTTCACCTGGCCATTGGGCAGAATTTGTATTACCGCCGTGGAGGAGCTGTTGTTATTCGATGGCACCATATTTTGTTGATAGTGGTCCTTAAGGGCCTTACACATGGCCAAGGCTAATAATTTCCAGGCCGCCACATCTGCTTCCGTGGTATCTGGACTAGTTACAGGCATTGGAGAACTGGGCGGGGTTTCCATATTATTTACAATTGACGGGCTGTTCATTATGTGGCCATCCACTTGATCCACTTCCTCGGAAGCATAACTTGGTTGTTGCTGCTGCAAAGGTTGTTGATGCAGGATTTCCTGTTCCTCATTTTCATAGAATGGTATGGCCATGTTGTTCACCTTTATACAATGTATCCAACAAGTTTAACTTATTTCCAACCTATATACGTAATTTGTACTTTTCGTGTGTGTGTTTTGTCGTAAATTCTTTCGTCTTTTCCTTTTCGTTTTGTACGCTATTTTTAGTTCACTACGCTACAATTTGCTATACACTCCATGGACGATGTCTTGCTTTCACCAATGACAACAAGAGACTGACTCACGGAACTGATACACCACGCTATTTATAGCATTTCCTTGTTGTCGTTGCAGGACAAGCAACAAGCTAAGAGGGGGGTTACTTCCACTGACACGTTCAAACTTGATGGAAATTGTAATTGAAACAATTGTGGTTGTAAAGCCACACACACACGAGACCCAAAACTCAGGAAAAAGTCACCCCCTCGGAACTCCAACCCCTGACACTGGCACACAGTCAACAATTAGGCGAGAAAGAGAGGAGAGAGCAAAAAAAAGAGAACAATACGAGTCCTTGCCCAAAGTAAAAACTCACGTGAAATTCACGTTTACTCCATGGCAGAGGGAAAAGACAAAAACAATTTCACGTCATGCTTCCGTCATTTCATTTGGTGTCGAACTCTGACTGCCTCGCCTGACTGTCCGTCCGTCTGTTTTGTCCGTGGCTTTTCCTGTCTCTACGACTGCCACTTAACTAATCTTATCAACAGTAGTAGAACATTGTTTTGTTGGAATTGTTGTTTTCGTATCGCTTGTCTGACAAAATGTTGAGAGCCCTCTTCCAAAATACAATCATCACGTGTAATTTTGTCACTCTCGCTCTTAAATTACTTTGATCACACAATGTTTAGCATTTGGCGGCGAAGAGAGGGGTTGAAAGAGACTTCGAATGTGTTCGAAATACCCCAGGGGAAAGAAAAATTCTTTATAGATGTACATTTTTATGTGAATGTTCGAAAGGGGGGTTTTTTGAGAATTTGTAATAAAAATGGTTTCGAATTTCGGCAGGGGAATTTATTATTCATAACAAACAAGTTTTCGATTTTAAGCAAAAGGGGAATTTTGATGAAATGTGAAATACTCGATTTCATTTACATGCCACTGGTATTGGCTTCTCTCCCCCTTAGAGAGTCGACATTCGAAATTCGGTGTTTTACTCCTGTTGCCTCTTTACATTCCTGATGAGGAGTAACATATTCGAACGTGTGTGTGCGGTTTTAATAGTCCTTGACCAATTTTTTTTTGTGTGCATGCAGAGGCTCAACATGTATTTAACATGAATTACTCATATCTACAACAAAAAATTCGTTCAAGCTTAGCAACAAATATCAAAAAATAAAAAAAATGTTTTTAACCGAATCTAAATGATTGAAAGTAAAATAGGTTGTTCTCCAAATATCAAAAATTCTTTGTTCGCGTCATATATGTAGTTTTGAGTGTAGAATCTTGGTGTGGATAGATCCTGAAACCATTTCAAAAAATAAACTTTGCCAAGTAAATTTTCAAAAAAAAAAGCATTCATTCCGTTGGGGGCTCTGGGCCGGACTCTGAGGCCATTAATTTTCAACATAGGTACAATACCATTCTACTTCAAAACATGAATCTATGCACAAAATACTTTCTGATTTTTAGATTTTTTTTCTTTATTTATTTATTTATTTTTTTTATTTATTTATTTTATTTTTTTTTTTTGACCAAATTAGCTGTTATTTAATTTCCTTATTATAATTCAATTATAGATCCAATTTTTTGTAAAGAACTCTACCTCACAATTTTTAATATTTTTAGATTTCAACTCCTGGAAATATGCAATTCGGCTTCCCCTTCTCCTGAAACGGGTCCGTCTCTATTGAAATGAGCTTCAACGTTGTCTCACATAATATAGTGTAAATTAAATAATAATACGAAATATTTAAAACTTGCATGGATTTATTGAGAAAATATTTTTTTTGTTCCTGAAAGTATGCAACGCTATAGGCAACGTTCTAATTGCCCCATCTACACTCTACCATTTTACAATTATTTACCACATTTTGTTTCGATCTCAATATAGAACAAATAAAAAAGCTGAAAGTTCTGCCGGGTCGTACTATGAATACTCTCCACCATTTGGTACAAATTTGGCAAATTTTAAAAAATAATAAAATCCGTTAAATATTCTGTTAAAATCTTAAAAATACCGAATATAGCCTTATGTTAGGGTCTACACGAGGACGTGGTCCTGATTAGGTAACTTTTGTCATAAGCTATTACAATATTCAAATGCGAAACTTAAAAAAAGAAGGGTGTAATATAGGTAAAATCATTAAAATACCGAATATAGGGAGGTACTATGGGGGTTGTAAAACGTGGACCTACACAAGCAATTTTTTGTCTTAGGCTGTAGTACTCATTACGAACTTCAAATACCAAATTTGAAACAATTCCGGTCAATAATGTTGCTAAAGTCATCAAAATACCGAATATCGGGAGGTACTTTTATATGGGCGGCTATACAAAGACGTGGACCTGCACAGACAATTTTCTGTCTTAGGCTGCAATATGCGTTATGAACTTTAAATGCGAAATTTGAAACAATTCCGGTAAATACAGTCGCTAAAATCATCATCGCATATCGGGAGGTTCCATTATATGGGGGCCACACGAAGACATGGACCTACTTGACCTATTTTCAATACCAAACGTCCTGAATACATAATACACATTTAAGTAAATTTTTATAAACTTACTTAATTTCGTTCGAAAGCTACAGTTATTTCCACAGACAGATGGAATGACGGACATCGCTAAATCGGCATAGAATTTTATGCTGATGAAGAATATGTATGCTTTGTGGGGTCTAAAATGTATATTTCGAGGTGTTACAAACCGAATGACAAACTTAATATACCCTCTATACAATGGTGGAGGGTATAGAAATATTCGATGTATTAATGGTATAAACGAAAAAAAAAATTTAGTCTTTTAGCAGAGAGATTGAATTTCTCAATTTTTCTTCAAATTTCTGAGAGATATATTATTTTAGCATGCTTTAGGGAACCTGAAAATGAAGTCGTCTATCAAATTCCATAATTTTAATAATAGCTCTTTTATACAACCATTTGACGAAATAGTTATAATTTACTGGCATTTATGTGGAAAATATATATTTGTTTCCTGAAAGTATGCAATATAAACTAAATATTCTATTATCCCCACTCAATGCAGATGTGATAAAAATTATTTTACACATTTCATTTCACCTACATCTATGCAATATTCTATGTTTTAATCGCAAGATCTAAGTCATATATTTTTCAATCTTTCCTAAAAGTAGGCAGTATTTTGTATTTACATTTATTTATGCATTTTTTTAATTTTTTTTTATTTTATTTTTTTTATTTTATATATATTTTTTTATTTTATTTATTTATTTATTTATTTTTTTTTTTGTATAAATTTTCCATAATTTCAGTGGTCATAACAAAACCCCAAATTTGTAATTCATCCGACACCTGCAATAAATCTTCAGTTCTCCAAAAATAAATCATTCCAACACCCTCAGCTAATGGTCATGTTTTGAGATTAACATATTCAAATATTCAGAACTAAGCCATAAAGTTTAAATGCTTAAAAACTCACAACAAATGGGACCCTTTTCATTATCTTTTTTTCTGCAAAAATTGTTACTCTTACTCCCCCAAAACTATGCTATGAAATTTTTGTAGAACATCTCTCAGTCTCTTGTTTCAAATTTGAATTATGTGGTAAACACCGTATTATTAATTAGACTCATTTATGGCATTGTTCTCTAACTCAGGGGGAGATTTGTCTCTGAGCTGAAAAATATGGCTAAAAACTTTTCTATGCCATGGTTTTATGGTTGTTAAGTTACCTTAATTAAATGTCAGTTCACATCGTTAAACTTTTTGTCTTATAAGACCATGGCAGACAGGGCAACAAATGAATGATTCTGTGTGTGATGGGTTAAATATTATTTCGGGTATTGTTGCGAAATGAAACAATTTGCATATAAGTTTGCTAAACAATTTTTTTTGTTTTTGTGTTTAGCCAATTGGCTGGGGGAACTCTCTTGAGATTTTGTGTCTGTCTGCCGAGCTTCATTATAATAAATCAATTTGTTAATTAAGTAATAAGCTGTGGTTTGTTAGATTACAAAACTAATTAGACTTTGTTGATAGGCTGTTGTTTTCAAAATGAATTATGGTGTTGGTTTATTGAATTGGTAATTACGGATTTTTTATAGAGATTATGCTAAGATCGCCTACAAGTATGCTTTAATATATTTTTGATGCAGTATAATAATATATATATATATACCACTTCTTCCACAGGTATGAAAGTTTATCTACACTTCTCCCAAAAGTAGGCAACATATTATATAAATTTAAAGAACTACCACGGAACTAATATACTGAAATAAAGGAATTATTTCAGTTATTATTTATTATTGCTCTGTAAGGATTACTTATTCTCCTCCAAATTTTACTATGCATTTTCTCTATTTAATTCAAAATTTTTGTGTAAATTAAGAAAAAAAAAACCATTTCCTCCAATATCAGTTTTGATGTGAATATTTTACAACAATCTTTACTTAACCTGTAAACAAAGGAAAGTCTAAAAGATTGCGTTGTATTTGTTTATTTAAAAGCACAATTCTAAATTGTTTACACAAGACGTTACACACTTACATATGTGTGATGTCAAGACACCGTGGGTAAAAAGTATGCTTAAAATATGTAAAACAAACAGCACGAATCAAAATAATGTGGCATACTTTAAGGTGAATAGTGAATGAAATATCGTTGATTAAATGTATAATGTTTCGTACCATTTTTTTCTTTTTTTTATATCATAAGATTTTATAAATTCACAACTTTTTGCCTCCACTGTATGTTCCGCTTGAAACGTCTGTCTTGAAAATGGCTGTTCTGCTTGACTACATTGAATGTAAATATTTTTCTTGTGAACGATACAAAACCAAGAAGTAAATACAAAGACAATGCACAAGACACACCAAATAGTTCATGTAAACTTAAAAGAACAACAACTGCTTATATGTTCATATCGGTAACAAAAATAAATGTTTGCATACTTTTAGGAGTCACATATGATAAATGTGGGAATATGAAAGCATAGAACTATATAAATAGTACAAAACTTAGGTATATTACGAGATTTAAATGTGTGCCAAGTCAGCGCCAATATCATTGAAATGAGGTCTAAAAAGTTCGGATAAGAAATATATATTTTAAATCAAATTTAGTCAAATCGATTGTTCTTAGGAAATTTTTGTGAGATACGATCAAAAAGAAAATGTTTTTCCCAAGAAACTCAAAGTTCCTCGGAAAACAGGGGTCGGAAAATTTTTCTGTGATAAAATTCATCCAAGTCCGGTTAGTTGGGCTTAAAAATAATCTTGATAAATTGCGACCAGGCTTGCTTTCTATGAGACAGCAGAATATTTATTCGAACCATGTTTTCTAAGACCAGACCATTTTAATACCCTCCACCATTGTATAGAGAATATATTTAGTTTGTCGTTCCGTTTGTAACACCTCGAAATATACATTTTAGACCCCATATATATTCTTGATCAGCATAAAATTCTATGGCGATTTAGCGATGTCCGCCGTCTGTGGAAATCAATCTAGCTTCCGAACGAATTGAAGTAGATACATAAAATGTTACTCAAATGTAGGTTATGTCTGCAGGGCTTTTGGTATTGAAAATAGACCATGCAGGTCCACGTTTTGGTATAAATTATGATCTGAGCCCAATTTTTTCTTAGAAATATCTGAAAGAGGAATCGATCATAATTGCAAGTCATTCCACTAAAAATCGATATTTTCCTGAGACGGGATCTGAAGTTTTCTCAGATGAGGTTTAACGAGAAATATTTTCTCTGAAATAAAGTCCAGACATATTTCTCGGAGTTTAGGTCCTGTCGGGAAGATATTTTGTTGAGATTAGGTCCAGCTAGAAGATTTTTGTTGGGATAAAGTCAGCTTGGTATAGTTTCTTCTGTGAGTAACATTATATCTTGTACTTAGCCGGTCAGTATCATTTTCCCTCGTATAAGGTCCACTCAGACCCATTTTCCCTTAGATAAATTAGGTCGGAAACATTTTCTTTGGATAACGTTTTCCTTGAGTTAAAATCCGGCCAGGGCCACTTTCTTTTGAGGTATACCCCGGGCAGGGCCACTTTTCCGAGATAAGATGTCGCAGATCGGTAAGGTCCCATTTTCTCCGGTCTGAATGACATGACTAAGGTATAACTATATAACCGATATACAATGTAGGATATCGGAAAAGCCTCATTTTCTTGATAAAATGTCGGGTAAACAACCATCTTTGAAAAGTTTCCTTTTTTAAAATAAAATCCAGTGAAAATCATTATCTCAGTTGTCAGGGTAATTTTCATGAAATTATGCTCCTATCAGAACACTAGTATGTTAGGTAAGGACCATTTTTAACGGTACATAACCCGTTCGAAGACAATTTTCCAAACTATAAAACAAGGGCAGGGCATTCCTTTCAATCTACGGTTTGTTCTTTTATGGAATATAGTACGATCAGGACATTATTTTTTCCCAGATTAGGTCCAGCAAGATATTTTGTCAAGATATACATTTTAATTTCTATAATTATTTCCAATTAAAATGTCCAATAATCATTTCCCTCTTTATGAAAAATATCAGGACCGTATCTTCTTTTATAAGGTCTGGTTAAAAGTTTTCTTCATAGATAAGGTCCGATTGGGTTAAATTTCTTTGAAATACGAATTAGTCAGAAACCTTTCGCATAGGTAAGAACCTGTCAAATAACGTCAGATTAAAAGCATTTTTCCGAAAATACTTCTATCGAACCTTATCTCAGAGAAAATGAACTTGTCAATGCCTTATGAACGAGACCTTGGTCCTAATTTAAACATATTTCAGCCAGAAATAATACCAGCAGAGCCTTTTCTCTGAGAAATTGGCCAGACCTTAACTGGGGGAAAGTTCTCCTCTGTTGAATTCAGCCGAGAAGAATTTCCGGTCTTTACGGTCTGCCCACTTTCATAGAGTAAAGCATTATAAGGTGGATACACCCGTAGTGACTCCTGTATGTGGTACTTGATGAAGTAGTTAAATACTTTGAATTTTATCAGACCTTTCTTTTGATCGATCTTATTATATATATTTTTTTTCTTACGTGGATAGGACTGATCTCTACTAATCTTTGAGTTATTTCCCGAAACCTTCAATTCCTCCCCCTCTATTTTAAGCAAATATGAAAATCACTTTTCTGCATGAAGCACAGCTAAACAACAAATGGAAAACCATAAATGTTGTTTCGAAATGCACTTTTCTGTTCTGCAACATAAAAATGCACCTAACCCTGAGATATTTGAAAGGAAATGAATTCACATTTATGGAAAATAAGAAAAGCTCTTGCCTTCATTGTTTTCCTAGTGGAGAATGTTATTTTCGACATGCTGCAGGGGGCCAGATTGATATTAAATTATATACCTTATTATCGTCATCAGTATCGTCGTCATCATCATCGCAGTAGTCGTCGTCATTTTGATGTAAGCATATCAAACACTTGTGAATGTGTGCATACTCGTCGATGTGATGATATTTATTTTACTTTGTGTACATGTGTCGGTGTGTGTTCTGGTGGCAATACCGTCATGGAAAATGAAGTTTGGTTTTACGATCACAAGTTTATTAAGCCAAGCAACAATTGTTGTTGCTTTATGTGCCTGTGGTTGTGTTGCATTGTGGTGTTGTGTGTGTTTGCAATGACTGCATACAATAACTGCATTGTATGCTTATACCGAAAAAAGAGGACTTTCCTCACTTTGCCACGGTAACAATAAGTGTTTTTCTCTTTTTTTTTTTTTGCTCCATCTTTATTTTGGGTGCTATTGTTGTCTTTATTCCAATTCTAAAGAAGTCATGTCAATGCCAATGCACAAGAGAAGCCATACCACGATGCACACACATGGAACACACAAAGGTCCTACCTTTATTTGTGTATGGCAATTGTAAGTTATTCTTACGGGATTTCAAAGCCACATTGCGACACATGAACATACAACCACATCATACCCCGTATAGGACAATTGTCTCATGTGCGAACAGTGTTGGTATGTGTGGCAGCTATGTTTAACGTTATGCTTAACTGCATTCCTGTAACATGTGCATCATTTTCTTGGTTATATATTTATATTGATGATATAAAAATGTTTATGTATATTTGTGTGTTTTTTGTTGCTGTTGGCTTCTTTAATGTTGTCTTTTGTTATTGTTACATTGTGTTGGAATATTTTTCTCTGCATGGAAATTATGTTGGTCTTAAATGTTATGGCAATTGCATTTGATGTGATTTTTTATTATTTAAAAATATTAAAAAAATAAAAAAATAATAACTTTGCAGATTGAGATTATGATAAACAACTAAAAGTATGCAGTTGTAGTTTTATATTTCAACAACTAGAAGTATACAATAGTTTTAAGGGGGGTAATTTAAAATAACCAGCATCAAAATGAAATTGTTCAAGACGTTGTTTCAAAAACGGGTTTCATTTTTTGAGAAAATGTTTTCTTCATATAAAATAGAATTTTGATATATTAAATTTTCTGCAAGAGTTTTTAAATTCAACTGTAGTAAAGGCTATTTTATAAAGGGTGTTTTTTAAAGTAGATAGAACTTTAAATTGTAAAAAGTAACACAAAAAATTTCAGTATACTCTGACAAATCATCATGAGAGACCATTATATGGGTCGTTCTTTCGCCGATTGGGCTCTAGAGCACTTGGCAAATGACCCGTTGTTTTATCGCAAAATTGTGTTTACCAATAAGCAAAATTGCTTCTACACTGAGGGAAAAATCCCGTTGCGAAATCAAGCACGTATGTTGTCATTTTCGCAACGACCCGTTGTTATATTTTTCAACAACGGCTGTTGGTGAATTGTGCACGAACGTGCTCAAATTGACACCGAGACGTGGTCAACTTTCGGTACCAACAACAGCCGTGCTTAATTTGTCCATTTGTAATATTGGTAATTGCAGCCGATTACACACGAGTAAAAAATGACAACGGTGGTGCATGATTCACACACGGTCGTTGTCAATATGACACCGGTCGTGTATGAATTATGCACCACCACCTGCATAATGATGCACCACCGTTGTTACTTTGTACACCGACGTGCATGAATCGTACACGATCGTTGCCATTTTAGCAACTACCGTGTATGAATCATGCACCACCGTTGTCATTTTTTTTACTCGTGTGCAATCGGCTGCATATTTACCATTTTTTCCGTGTTATTGAAAGAGAAAGGACGCATTGTGCAAAAAATTTATTGAAAATGAATAATAATTCGCAAGATCCTCAAAATATCATTGGTGAGTTGTTAGAAATCGATGGCAATATTGTTGTGGTTCGCGATACAAACCATTGCAGCAGTCAAGATGCGGAAAACAATGAGGACGATTATATGTTAAGGGAGTTCTTAAAAGGAATAAATATGGAGTCGCTTTTTGAACAATTAAAAGGTAAGTAAATAAAAATGAATTTTTCAGTTAATCAGTGTAATTAACAAAGAATTTTCTTTTTTGTTCTTTTAGCATCACATGTAACATTTCGCAGCTTGCAGTACTTGAAAAAAGAAGATTTAAAGGAAGCAGTGCCACCATTGGGACTGCGTGTTGAATTCAGAGAAAAGCTCTTTGCTTGGAAAAAACGAAAGGTACGTATTATTTGTTTTACAGAGTTGAACTCAGTATTAATATTGTCATAACAATAGCTCGGGATTGATGACGAAACTATGTCAGTTCCATCTAAAATAGGTGAATGGTGGAAACGCAACGAGACACCTGCAAGTACTCCTGGTACTCCCGACACTACAGGTTCGAACTGCTCAAAAGCCAAAGGAATTTTGTCAGAGGTAAGGTAAGAGTAATATTTGTGTAAGCATAGTTAATGTAGTTTTTTTATTTAATATAGGATCTAACGGAATTGTTAACACATACCTCGAAGGGGAAACTAGCGCTTGAATGTAGTAGCGTTAATAAGAAATTAAGTGACGAGCAAAGAGATGATATAATTAATATAATTATTGAAGATATTTTAACCAACAATGTTACTCTTTACACTCAAGACTATATGCGCATATTGGATGAAATTTGTTCCGTTTTTCCTCTTGAAAACGAAATGAGGGTAAGATTAACAATATAAACAACGTATCTGATTATGTAGTTTCTTAACTTATAATATGTCTTTATTTTTAGGATTATTATTACATTTCAAGAAAAGGAAAGAACAACGCAAGCGGAAAACTTTATGCCAAGTATAGAAACAAGAAGTCCAAAAGAATAAAGCTTTTGATTTCCGAGCCTAGCACAAGCAAAGCAGCAACTCACACATCTCCTAATTTTTGTAACAAAGATGTTCCCGAAATTGATGAATCAGTTGAAAATTCATTGAAAGCTTCCTTACTAAGAGAATGTAATGATTGGGGATCGATCTGCGAAAAATGGAAAAGATCTTTTAACATACGGCAAAGAGATATAAAAAATTTAAGTAGCCATACATTTCTCCTTGAATGGACGAAGTTGTCCGATGCAAGAGCTTCAGAATTGGTAAGTAGCCATGAGCTATTTATTTGTATATGGATACTAATGTTTCGTTTTAGGTCAACATTGATTTCGATATTATGTATCCACAGAAAGGCAATCTTCTACTTTCTAAATGGGACCAATTTAAGAAAAAAATTTACAATTATTATGGGAAAAATATTCATAACGAACATTGCAAACAACTCTTCGCAAATGTTTTGACGGCAAGCAGCATAGGTAAATTTTAATTCCTGATTTATCATAAACATTAAAAGTAATATTTATTTTATATTTCGGTTGCAGATGCTCAAGATTATATATACGCAATACTGTTGAATTCAGTTTTACCATCACCTGCTAGGTTTAAATGTGGAAACGGTAAATTACGAAAAAAGTAACAATAGCTGATTCGCAGGAAAGTTTCGTACTGCGACTACCGACAATTAACGATTATAAAAGGCAAATTGATACAGTCACTGAAAAGTATTACAATGCTGGATTAACTATACAGCCATTTATAATTGTGGAGGGTTTGTCCGATTTCAATATAAAAGGTTTTTATGTTTTTTTTAACCACAATTTGTTAAAATTTCAATCGTTCCTCGAATGTTTAGATACATGTTTTAAAATTTTTCATGCACTTTCTTTAAAATATCCAAATGCCTGCCAAATTCCATGGATTTTTATCCAAAAATATTTTTATGAAATTAATACTGTATATGATATAAAATCAGTTAATTTGACTTCACTTATTAATTTCTGCAACAATAATTAAAGTACAATTCAAAATGTATATTTGCATTCGTTGCCGTAAGCATTTTGATAAGGCAAATCTTTTAATAGCTCATTTGAAAACAGACCATTTAATGTCCACTAAATTTTTAAAAGTACAATGCGTTCAGGACAACTGTAAGCAAACATTTACAAAATTTACGTCATTCAGAATTCATTTAGAAAAACTTCACAAGAATCACACAAAAGCTCCACCAATGGTTAAAGCCATTAATGTGCCAGTTGAAATGTCATCATCAAAAGAAAATGATTATACAAACAGTGAAACTGTTATTAACAACAATACAATAGAAAAGGATTTAAATGTTTTGAAAAAGAAAACCTTATATCTGTCTTTACAATTACATGGTCAAAGCTATATGCCTAGAAATCATGTTATAGAAATACAACATTCTGTTTCAATTCTGCTTTCATCCATTTCATGTACAATTGAAAAATATATAACTGATCATCCAAATTATGAAGACTTAAGGTACTTACTAAACTTTTGTAAAAATCCTTTCGAAGAAACTAGAACGGAATATAGACTTTTAAAAATTTTAAAAGAACTAAACTTTTATGATGATCCAAAGGTTTATGTAATTAGCAATCAAGTCTCGGAAATTGTTATCAGCGGAAATCCCAGTTTAGGTCCAAAGTTATCCAATATTTATATAATGCCACTGAAATTCATGATAAGTGCCCTTTTTAAAATTCCAAATCTCTTAGATTTGACATTAGAAAACTCCAAAAAATTCCTAAATTCACCTGTTTTACAAAATTTTACAAACGGTGAGTTATATAAAACTAAATTATTAAAATATCAGTACAATTTAGTTATTCCCTATGTCCTTTACATGGATGATTTTCAAATTAATAATCCTCTTGGAACCCATACATTTTCCATATGTGGTTGTTATATTAGCTTTCCTTCAATGCCACAGCACTTGTTGTCAAAACTTGATTATATATTAACTGCTGCGTTTATACCATCAAAGGATTTAAAAGAACGTGGAAATGAAGTTTCATTTCACAATCTTGTAGAAGAGTTAAAAATTCTAGAAGAAGGGGTTGAAATTTGTGTTCAACAAAGTGTTCAGAAGGTGCATTTTATTTTAGGTGTAATTATTGGAGATAATTTAGCAGTTAATAGTATTTTAGGCTACGTGCAATCATTTAACTCTAAAAGATTTTGCCGGGTATGTAGAAGAAAAAAGTCCCAAATGCAATTCGACGCAATTCAGCATTTAGATAGTTTAAGAAACCAAGAGAATTACAACTCAAATGTATTGGAAAATAATTTTCAAGAAACAGGTATTAAAAACAAGTGTATCTTCGAATCTTTACCAAATTTTAACGTCACTGAAAATTTTTGTTTTGATATTATGCATGACATTTTCGAGGGCATATGTGTCTACGATATGTCTAATGTAATTCTCGGGCTGATTCAAGAAAATATTGTTACGTTAGATTGTATTAACAGCAGAAAATCTTTATTCCAATTTGGAGAAATTGAAGTGGGAAATAAATCTGGACCACTAGATTTATGTAGATTGAAAAACTATAACTTAAAAATGACAGCTAGTGAAACTATGTGTTTTACTAATTTTTTACCTTTAATGGTAGGCGATTTAATTCCTTTCTCCAACGATCACTGGAAAGTTTTTATAATATTATTACAAATAATCGATTTACTTTTAAGACCAAGTTATATAGAAGACGATTTAATAAAATTGGAAGAATTAATTAGAGATCACCATTCACTTTATATAACATTATACGGTTCGTTAAAACCGAAACACCACTTTCTTGTCCACTATCCCACAGCTATCCGAAAATGTGGTCCCCTTAAATATCTCTGGAGCATGAGATTCGAAGCTAAACACAAGGAAGCAAAAGCCTATTTAGGAAATACTACATCAAGAGTAAATCCCTGTCGTTCATTATCTATTAAGTCTGGATTGAAATTTTCCAATTTTTTATTAAAACACGAAGATAACTTAGAACCAAATGTTATCATTAATACGCATACCATCGAAGATTTGGCAAAAGAGGAATATTGTTACAAAAAAAGTAAGCCAGTTTTAAATTACCAAAATTGCAAAGTGTCTGATGACATTTTTTTTAAGGGAACTAGGTATAAAAAAAACTATTATTTAGCAACAAATAATGCCGCAATTGAACTTTTCAAAATTAAACATTTAATAATTGAAAATGAAAATGTTTACATTTTATGTAACCAAGTAAAAGTTAAAAACTTTGATTACCATTTACAATCGTATGAAGTTGGTTCTCTGAATGAGGATACAATTTTTTTAATACCAATTTTAGATTTTATTACTTACCCATTTCACTTATATCCTATGAATAATGGAAAAGTTTATTTCAGATTTAAGTTAATTTAATTTGTTTCTATACATTGAATATATGTAATTCGAATTGTTTTGTTAAATCAAATATGTATTTATATTGAATTTATGTAATTGGTTTCGTTCAATAAAATACTTTTCAAAAAATGTCGTTTCTTCTACTAAGGGTATAAAATGGAAAAGGAACGGATATCAAAAAATGACCACCATTGATTTCAATCTGACAACGGGCGTTGACAATCCGACAACGGAGCGTTGACAATCTGACAACGAAGCGTTGACGATCTGACAACGAAGCGTTGACAATCTGACAACGGGGCGTGCTCGAAATGACCACGTATGTGCTCATTTCATGCACATCTGTTGTTGAAATCGTTGCCAAAATCTCGGTGTCAAAATGACAACAGCGTGCTCATTTTGACACCAAACGTGGTTGATACACTATCATACACGGATGTGGTCATTTCATACACGGATGTTGTCATTTTTTCTCTGGGTGTACATCACTCTAGAGCCGTATGTATCAAATAATTTTGAAAGGAAATCTAATATTGAGGCATACTTTTAGGACGAGCATTTTTTACGTGTTGTATTTTCTTTGTACAGGGTACAGGGTGAGATAAAGGAACTGCAACAAAGTCAAACACCATAAATTTTCTTTTTTTTAATTTTATTAAATAAAAGCAAAAAATATCGGAAATAGCATCAAATTTTAGAATAAGTTTAGATTTGTTCGAATTGGTCACCTTTGGCAAGAATTGTGGCCCTCAAACGACCAATGAAACCGTCACACGTTGCCCGAATGTTGCTCTGTGGTATTTTGGCCGATTCCCGGTGAGGCGCTTGCTTGAGGTGATTGACACTTTGATATTTTTTAGTGCCAACCTTGCTTTCCAAAATACTCCAGACACAATAGTCCAACGGATTGGTATCCGGAGATTTTGGTGGCAATTGTGCGCTGGAATTGAGGCGAGATATCTCATTTAGTAACCATTCCAAGTCCTGTTGGATTGTCCAAGTTTTGCGGCCAAACTGTTTGCCTGCCCAAATCTTTAAAACACCCTCCAGAATATTTTCGCGATAATATTCGGCATTTATTTTGATGCCACGAGCGCAGAGCGATCATCGGTTGTTATGGCGGCCCACACCATCAACATGGCCTGCGCTTGAGTTCTGGTGGCCAAGCGAATGTGCACATTTTCAGTTGACCTCTGTGGCAATTAAGCACGATAATTTTGTTTTGTTTACAAACTGCCCGACAACGAATGTTTTCTCATCGAAGAAAACCAAATTCGGCATTTCACCACTTTCGGCCAAGCGAAGCAACTCTTTAGCCCTTTTTGAGTCTATTTTTTTCTGTTGTGGTGTAAGCTCTTGCACTTTTTGGAATTTCAATGGCTTTACGCCGAACTCATTTTCCAATATTTGCCGAATGGAATATTGAGATATGTTCAGTTCACAAGCCATTTTTCGGCCACTGTGACGTGGGTTTCAATCAAGTCGCTTCTTCACTTTTCGAACCATTTCTGCTGATGTTGCTGTTTTCTTCCATCCACTTCCTTGACGTCGGGCTACGCCACCAGTATCACGGTAGCAAGTAACGAGCGATGGTACGAGACACAAAAGATTTATTCACCTTCAAATGCTGGAGTGCTCTAACGATAGCCCCTCGTGGTTTTCCAGCCAAATATAAAGAAATCACACTATCGCGCTTGAATTCCATCACGAATAACTTTTTTTCTGGAAAATTCTCAACAAAATGCTTTTGTACTCATGTAAACCTGTCACTCTTGTGAGCTGTCACTGGAATAATTTTAACAGCTGTCAGACGAGTGGCTTAGAAATGACAGCAGTCTGAAGTTGTTTGCAGTTTTGACATCTCACCCTGTATATTAATTTTTATTATAAACTAGCTGGCCCGGTCCGCGTTGCCGGCCCGTAGTTTTTGTCTATTATGCATATATTCCCAAGCATAATTATTCACAGATATGACTGATATAAGTGTTCACGTACAGGTCGATTTAAAGTGTTTTAAAATACCTGTACCCATTTTTAACCAGTGGGCTTCAATATTTAAACCGTGGGCTTCAACTGTGTGGATGTGCTATACAAATCTATTAAAAAGTATATATCAATCTTATCGCCATATAAGGGATCAAATTAATTTTTAATATGGTAAAAATCGTAGCAAAATCTTCCAGTCAAATGAGCAGTAATTTGGAATTTGCTGTATTTTGTATACTACATAATTGAGGGCTGAATGATTTAAGAATAGCCAAAGTTAATTACTTTTTTAAACCCATTAGCAACTTAGATTGTGCATTAGAGTCCTCATAAGTCCCCCTAACCATGTCAGTCTGTTTGTCCGCCAAAAGGTGGACTTGAGAGGGTATTATAACATGGATAAAAATTCTAAAATTTGTAGATATGTTGAAATTTTAGTGTAAGATTTTCACCCCCCTAATACGCATTATTAGCCAAATTCATTGAAATGTGGTTAAATTAGGAGGTACCTTCTTTATATGGGCACTACTCCGAAACATCGACTTACATTGAAAACTTTCTTCTACCCCTTATAATCCAAGATGACAAATAGAGGCCAAATCAAAAATATAGCAGAACAATATAGCATGTCATAGCATTTCGCGTGATTTAAATAAGTAAAAATAGTTTTATCCACCTCATAATTGAGGGCAGAATGATAAGATGGGAATTAATTTTATTTGCCATTTAAATTGTAAGTTGGAGACCCCTTAAAGTCCATATTTTCATCATAGGATAATTCAATGATGATTAAACAAATATTCGGTCCCGTGCTACTTTCTTATATTTGTAATTTGTTCATGTTTCCAAAATTTATTCCATATAGATGTACATCCCAAATCTACGTTCAAAACCAATATTCTCTTGGGGGTTAAAAATTCAATAGAATACAAAATTTTCTTTTCTGACCACACATTAGATGTGAAAGTGGACTTAGGGATACTCCAATGTGGGGACTTTAATTAAATAAATTCCTATGTGGCAATTATCTGTATGATGGTTCCCTACCCCAGGGTGGCATAAATAAAATTTTTTAGCCAAATCAATTGATGAATGTGGTCAATACCAATATGGGCCCTACTCTAAAAATTTCAAATTTTATGCGAAGAGGTTATCTACCCCCTTAGAAACAAAAATGTCAAATAAGGGCCAAAAAATGAAAAAAGTGGCCGGCCAAGACCCCAAAAATAACTTAAATCATAGATGGTTATATAAATATGAAATCGGGTTGTTCCCTTATCCATGAGTTATGATCGATATAAAGACCTGCAAAAGTGATTTTAGGTATTTTGAATGTTTGGGAAGAATTTCTGGAAGGATATAAAACCT